ATTTGGATTTCTGGCTTCAACAGCCGCTAACTGCGACAGTACCGAGTGTGAAATTACAAAGAGAAGATGTGACAGACATGAATGCAACATTGTTTATCCACAAGCCTGTGCCCGCACAGGCCAAAAAATTATTGAAGTTGAAGGGAAAGACCAAAAACAATGGGGAATCCTAGAGGGACATTTTCCTGCGCCGCGCGTGTGGATCTCCAGTCACGTCGACCACCCTCGACTCCCCCCGCACAACCCAACTATCGGTCGCTTACCAGCCAACAGTGTTCTCTGAGAAATGGTCAGCTCTATTGAACCATCAGCCACTTGACGAGGCAGAATCTACGTCCCACCCATTCAATCTTCTCTCTGGCTGTAACTCCTCCAACTCGACCATCGACCACTGCGACGAGAATGTCCTTGATCAAAGTTTTACGACCGCCTACTCGCCACTTACATACGAGATGTGATTGTCTGCAAGATGGACAAGAAGATCAAGAAAGACTCAGAACTTCGAGTGATGGTTGAAGCAGTTACCAGGTGGTAGCAGGCAGGCAGGACCTGAGCGAGACAGTGGCGAGAAAAAAGAGAACGACGCCCCGTGGAGTGCGCATAGGCCACATATTGACTTCGCCTAAATAGGGTGACAGGTGATAACGATATCTGGTTTTCTTTTCGCCAAACCCTCATCTACCCAGGATCTTGCAGCCATGATGAAACCACAGCTAGGTTCCCTTCCACAGCGCTATCCTGTACCTGATTCCTCCGCCTCTCTGCCATGCTGGTCACCACTACCAAGCTCTCAAGAACCCGTCCATCTTCCTTGATCATCCCGTAGGACTCTCACATCTCCAGGCGCTCAAGTTCACAGAGCTCTTGTACGCATCGACCATTGAGCTAAATGCGGCATACAGACCTAGAATCATCGTCACAATACTGCCCAAGTAGAAGATCAGGTCGAACAGATTCCACCACAGTTCCTTCTTGAACCCTCGCCACCATCTCTTGACGCCGCTGTCCAGGTGGTGAACGGTGCCAGTGGCTGGGTCAAATGTCTCACCCGGAAGCATGGCATCGCGCTGACACTTGAAGCCCAACATCAAGAAAGGTGGGAAAGTATATGTGAATTGCAAAATGCACCCCGCACCGACGAGGACGATCCACGTGTTGATTTGAGGGACGGATTGAGTGACAACCCAAGCGAGAGTCCAGTAGATGGGAACAAAGAAAACCCAGATCCATTTGCCTGTCTTGGATTCCAGCAGTGGGAAGTTGAGTAGATCACGGCCCATATTGTTGTAGAGAACTTTGATGCCAATGTTGCCGTAAAGAACAGCGGCAATGAGACCGGTGATGAGACCGATAATGTTGCACGCCGTTTGCCAACCATAAGGCGAGACACCCTGGTACGAAACATTGTAGGCGTACTGCCCTTGCATGCAATAAGTGTAGATTCCGTAAACCATGTAGCAGGCATAGATGAGCAGATCTGCGCAGAGGAGGCCCTTCCAGAAATCCATAGGGCGACGCATCTCCGCCATAAGCTCCACAAACAGAGTGGCGCCACCGAAGGAGAAGACGGCATTCATCAGACCATTGACGTTGTCGACGATGCCGAGGCCGGGTGGAGCGGCGCCCGAAACTTGAATTGGTGTCGGGTTGTTGATATCAAAGTCAGGGTTTGACGCCGCATAGAGTTTGTAGTTTGGAGGAGAGTGAGCCATGACTCCCATGCTAGGAAACCGTCAGTCACGCACGAATTTCAAACGGATCAGAAGATAAAACTCACGTCGCGAAAATGATGAACAAGTTGAGGAACACTGCCCAAGAAGCCAACCAGCCGAACCGCTGTAGGGTTCGAATCTGCCCAATGATACAGCCTGCGATCATACAGACCACCACGCAGACGATGAAGCACAATTGACCCTTGGACAGCTGGCTAATGGACTGGCCGCTGCTGAGGATGATGAGGGCGACATTGAGGAAGAATTGGAACGACTGCAGAAGGTTGCAGGTGTGGCGAAACCAGGGGCCGTACACGCGGAATGCGATGTCGCCATAGCCTTTCATCGGATAGCGGTCGCTGTCCATCTGGAGGTACATGCGCCAAAGCTGGTAGCCACTGTAACCAGCGAGGGCACCAAAGACAGTGAAGAGCGTAACACCGGGGCCAAGACCCATTTGAGAGAAGGCATACCCTGTACTGAAGGGACCGAGAATGTCGGTGGTAATGAGGTAGAAGACGGCACCCCTACACGTGCGGTTAGTAGTGGAAGGGTCCAAGTCAGTCAGGGTTGACAATACCAAGTAGCTGTTCTGGCTGCGCGCGAAGCTTGAACCCATTCGTCATCAGATATGGTCATGGGCTCATACTTCTTGTTCTCGACGACCGACTTTTCGTTGCCTGAATCCGTCTCGTGCCTCACGATTTGTCCATCGCCTTGCGCGCTGATGGACAGCCTGGGCTGAGGAACAGACTCGCGACGGTTCTCGACTCGCTTACGAAGAATCTTCTCTTTGATGAAAGTCATCGTAGGTCCAGAGCCTTGAGTGAAGTCGCTTCCGGGACCGTACAAGCGATCCTCTTCTTGGCGAGTGATCTTTGCATAGTGAAGATACTCTTCAAAAGGAATGCTGGGGTCATGGAGCTTTGCTAAGACCCTTGTGGGGAAAGTGGTCGAGTCAAGCCCATGGGGACGCAGACGCTTGTCGTCCACGGCGCCGGGGCCAGAGATAGATCCGACTCCAGATGCCATATCCCTCGCCTTGAAGAAAGAGTTCGGTGCTAGATTGTAACAGTACTACCAAAGGGAGACAGTTGATGGAGGGGAGAGTGGACTGCAGAAAGCGAGGTGCCACTTAGTCTTATAGCAACTGTACCCAGTGTCCTTCGCTGGGAGACAGAGATATCGGTAGTAAGGTCGTACTCTTAGCTCATAGCGCAAACGCTGAACTCGCTCTGCGAGTACCTGAGCAATCTGCTCTGCGAATGATCGGAGGATGGTGTGACGCCACGAGACCCCATGATCTTCGCGTTGTTCGGCGTCGTTCCATTGATTGATGATAGGGCAAACTCAGGTAATTGGTGTATTCTAGAACGACCCCTTGCATGGGTCGAGGGCCGAGTGTCCATTCTCATGGCGCCAGAGAGGAGAGGCAACGTGAAATCTGAGATTGCAACGTCAACATGCGATCGCTGTTGGCTGTTTTGGAAGGGTAGCACTGTCTTAGGAGAGGCAAGGTGGTGAGGCGATTGCGTACTAACCTCATCAAAGAGGAGTTGTCCATTCGATTTAGCGGGCGCAGAGAAGGGTTTGGCTGTCAATCATGAGTTATGAAATCATACGACAGCGCAAGACGCCGACGTGGTGGTGGTAGGCGTAACGCAATCAGGCAGGTAAAATTGATGTCGGGCGAAAAGCCCAAAGCCCTGCGGGAGGAAAGGATCCACACCGAAGGAGAATAGGACTTGTCCCCAAGAGACGTCGCCAGTTCCCAATTCACGCTAGTTGTGGGCGAGACAAGCGAGCGATAGCAGGGGTCTTGTTTGATGGGGACAAGTTCAGCCGTTGTCGATGCCATAGTTGGAGTTGTGTCATTCCCTGGAGGCTCAGAATGTTGGCATCTCCGGAAGTAATCTGGTCAACTTCACGGCCATAGTGGCCAGTCTTTTCCATTGGTGATTATCCCTGCACAGTCTTCTGCTAAATTTGCCTGCTCTTCGAGATTGTTCGATCATGCCCATTCGGGATGAAGACCTATCATCTTCACCCTTAAGTGGTGCCACACGATTGGCTGAAGGTCCTGAACACCCCTGTCCGAAAGTAACTTTGGTGTCTTCAAGGTAGTAGAAGCAATTGCTAAGCTTCGCCTGAAAGCTTGTCCACGCAATGCCCTGTGCAGCTGGCCCACATGGTCCTGTTACCCGTTGCCACTGATCTGCTATCATTGAATTTCGTGGTCGCGGGGGAATATTCAAGAGTAGTTAAGCCTGGCCGGGCAGCCGCCTGTTCTCTCCACTCTTGGCCACACTCACGGCAGCCAGTTTTGAGTGGCTTATCCCTTCTGCTTCTGCGGTGGTTTCTAGTTTCGAGGGGGGGGAGTACGATTCGTCGCTAGTCGATCAGGTCCCATTGTGAATATGTGCGAGCCGTTTGTGTAAGCGTTCAATTGGACCTGCTCGCTGACAGGCGGGAGATGCCGCCGACGCAAATCAGAAGTCTGATTTGTACTTTGGTACACACGGAATTTGGGAGATTTTGTGGTGACAAGGAGCAATTGTGTTCGGGTATGCCCCGTACAGAGTACACTGAGGAGCCACATTAAAGCTGGCAGAGTTGCATTTTCAGGAAGGTGTCATTGGCCGCTAATTGGCCGGCTGATCTCGCTAAGTGTGGAATTGAGGTCCGTGATTAATAGATCCAGTCCCTCGTACGGTTTGCAGAGTGGGGGAGGCCACTGTGGTTGGTGTAAGCGCATGTTGAACGAGGTCGGGTTGGACCGAGTCGACCGAGAACACGACAAGCTGGGACAAAGAGGGTCAGTATTTCGCGTGTTCTTTTGTCTGTGCAGCTAGCGAGCTCGGGATCCAAAGGTGACAATGCTACTGCTAGCGCCACCGGGTACCTTGACTACGCCGGTTGGGCGTTTTCGGCAAGACGGCACGAAGCCTGGTTTGTATTGGGGACATCAGACGACAATAGTATAGCAGGCTGCGTAAGTAGCAGAACTGTAGCAGACGGAGTTCCGAGCAAATACAAGGGCAGAATGAACACCCAGACTTTGCCAGGAGTCCAGAATCTTTACGGAGGATGTAAAGCCCTTGACGTCCATCCCGTGCAGGAAGTTTGGAAGTTTGGAAGTTTGGCGGACAGGGGGATGATTCTTTGGCACCAAAATACGAGTAAAATGTACCCCGAGCTTAGGTGCGCCAGGTGCGCCTTACCAAGGGATTGCCAAGATTTATTATTATGTCTATTTCCAAAAGCCACATCAAGATCCTACACTCGAAACTAATTTGAGAACATGTTGTCGATTCCAAAGCCAAACTCAACATTCCAATCGTACGGTATATCGTAGAGATTGTCATCCAGTTTCTCCTGTTCGCCATCGCCCTCCACAGTTCGCCAACTGTTCCGCCCAGGCGCCTCGTAATCAGGCTCGCTGGCGCGCTCGAAGATGAAAGTCGTGTACTCGTCTTTGATCGGCTGGAGCCGCTGCTGAAACTCCTGTGAGCACCGCGAGACTGCTGGCCAGCGTTCTGCCATGGTCGAGAACAACATGGGAAAGTACTCGAGGAAGTTTTCGATTTCGGTGAATGTGTAAGACTCGAAGATGGCGTTTTTGCAGGTTTCCAAGGTATAAAGAAAGACTATGGCCGAAGAAAAGGTGTGATAGCACGAATGAAAGACATATTTGGTGTGGCCTGCTGCCGAATTAGCTTGATCGTAATAGCCTGACGCAACACAAACAGCTGCTGCGAAAGCCTTGAGTAGATCCGGCCTAGATCGTGTTGGAATTCGTGGACAGGGTCCAAAAAGACAGACCAGAACGTAGTGATAGCCAATCTGAGCATAAAGAATGAGCTCGTCCCACTGCGACTTTTTCGAGTCATCCTTGTTGTCAGCAGCAGCAACGTTGACTTCTTCCCGCCACGTCCTTATTTTGTCCTCCATTTCGGAAATCCAAGCATCCAGTAGAAGTGGATCCTCTGAGACGGTGGGGCTGCGATACAGTACGTTCATGATCTCGCTTTCCAATCTTCTGTAGGCCCATATGCGGCCGGAAATCATGAAATTCGGCGACTGGTCCGTCATGTCGGAGAGAGCTGGTGATATGGCGAGGTCGCCAGGCCCATAAGGCAGAGCAGTGGTGATGATGTCGTTCGGGATTTTCGGGGCCCGTCGAACGCAGGCGGCGACGGCCACTTCCATCTCCCACGCACACCAAAAGACTCGACGTCGTAATTCCCGCTCTTGAGCGTTCAGTACACAATCCGATGGAGGTTCTTGGTGGAGACCCATGTCGATACATGCTTCACTTGCCAACCCGGTCAAGAGGGTCAGATTAGCCACGTCGGGGTTCAGAAAGACGTATTGCGTAGCCAGCAGCAACGCCTGCAAACCAGACAAGTCATTCGACCACATCTTAGGCACGTGTTGGACGGCAGTCTTGAACAAACCAGTTGCCAACGACTGAGCATGTGCCTGTTTGTGCCGTGCAGCTGTACTAAGGGAAATGGCCATGACCAGACTGACAATATAGGTATTACAGGAAGAAGGCTCGGTGAGCAAAGATCGGTCAGCCACCGCTCGATAATACACCGCATTGAAAGGTTCCTGGACGTCTGCTGGGAGGTAAATGGGATACTGAGGATTCACCCGGTTCGTATAGGTGTTGAGCAGGAATTCCGCCACTGTAAGGGTAATAGCTGATAATGGGAGGGTTGAGGATGGGCTCTGAATTGGCAAACTATTGTGATCTTGCATTTCGAAGAGCTCCAAACCCCTACGAGCTGTTGGGGTCTGCGTGGGTGTAAAGGTGCATCGGGGAATATGTAGATTTATCTCTATGCCGAGATAAGAGGGGGTGATTGCTTCCAAGACGACACCAACCACCGTTGAACCTTGATGGAGATGTATCTTTCTTTGCCGTGGGACCGTTTGAGAAGAAGCTGGGGTTTTGTTGGTAGATGATGAGGTCGACGGTGGAGTGTTGTCACTTTCGCGCTCAAGAGATGCGATGTAGCCTTCCAGATATCTAGCGATACTCTGCGGCACAGTAGATCCAGACGAGTTCTCTCGCGTATCGCATGGCAGGTTTGCCTCGAGACACTTGGAACACGTCGGCCGGTTTGCGTCGCACTGGTTACGCTCGTAAATTTAGATTTTCATGTGTTGTAGGTTTGGTCATTACCTTTATTTTCCTTTGGCGGCATCGCGTACATGCTGCAGTGCGCCTTTGGACCCTCCCTGTAGGTCTCATTGCGTCTTCATTGTAGTGGCGAACAACTCCTAGACCAAGGTTACGTTCATTCAATCATGCGATGGTGACTTGTCGCTCACTGCCCTTCCAGATTGGAATGGGGAGGCTGCCACAGCAGTCCTTTGGTAAAACTTACAGATAAGACTGGTGGAAATTTAGCGCTAATCCGTACGTGAGGGGGTCGGACATATACTCGGTATTACTGTTCCAGAAATCTATGTACGTCATCATATTATAGCGGCAAGGTTTTGCTGAACATTTGGTTGAGAAATCTCACGTGATGGACCGCACTAGTCATTTTCAGACAGCCAGAAGACGCTAATGACACAACGGGCAAGGCGGCTTGGGTCACCCATGGTGAATGCTGTCGCCGGCCGCCCTCTATCTTCCCCATCTCTCTACTGTCAAGATAGTCTCCGGTCATAAGGTCAACTCTACCAAAATGCGATGTCAAGATACATCAAAATCCTTAGTGTTGTTGTCTTTGAATCATGTTGACAGTCGGTGATACTCGATCAAGTAACATTATTTTCATCTCGACATGCAGGTTCAACGCGATGAGGACGAAATATCAGACGCCGGAAGATCAGATGACAGTTCCATGGCCGACCTACAAGCAATACTCAAGCTACTTCCGGCATGTCAACGGTGCCGCAAGAACAAAAAGCGATGTGATCTCCAACTGCCAGCATGCCAGAACTGCACAAAAGCAGAAGAAGAATGTTTTTTCTTGGACCTCATCACGAACGAAAGACTGCCACGACAGTATGTGTAGCTTATCCCGGTCTGGATCTACATGCTGACCATCTCACAGATACGTTGCTTCCCTACTTGACCATATCAAAGCCCTCAAAGCTAAAAGGGGCCACAAATCGAGTGGCGTTGGCCATGATACCGTGTCGGCGCACCTCGTGCCAGTACGAGGTATGTCAAGATATCTCGGCAGCCGCGCAGCTCTTGCAATACCTGCCCAGGCTCTGTCTGCCATTTCCCATGAGGAACCCAGTCCCGCCTTGGAGCTTCCTAGCAACTTCACGAACGGTTCGTCAGTGACCTCGGAGATGCACACGTTCTTGATGGAGAGATACTTCCATGTTATCCACAAGGTATATCCGGTTTTTGACTGGCCCTCGGAGTTTTTCACTGTCACATCGCAGACCTATGGCAGCAACCGATTCCTCTTGTACGTTCGCGCAATGGTTTATTCTATTGCATGCCATTGCCTGCCTAAGAATGACCTCAGGCTCGTGCTTCTCTCAGATGAACTATATCGACATGCCGTGGCACATGCTGAGGATGTCATGTCCCAAGTCTCTGTAGAGGCTCTCCAGGCCGTTCTATTACTGGCTCTGCGCTGTCTCTTCGATCCACGCAAAGGATCTTTGGGTCAAATGATTGCCTTCTCAAAGTCTTTGATGACGGAGTTGGCAAGTCGCGGGGTTCTGGAGAATTCTCCCTTGGAACTACCATTACGATGTATGCTATCTTGTCTCGATAACTTGGTTGGCTCGGCTCTGGATAGACCCTCAGGACGTCCAGAAATGGTGAGTAAATACTCTAGTGAAGTCCTCGCAGTTGATTAAATCTCGAATAGGACGTGTCACAAACATTAGACCTGTCGAATCAAACGGCCTTCTTGACCTCGCAATATCAGGAGCAATGGAAGTATCGCAACAGCTGCACTACCGAAGTTCAAGACACAGCAGCATTCGATAAGCCAATCGATCAAAACTGGTCTCCAATCACTCAAACTGCGCGCTGCGAAACACGGTTTTTGGTAGATACAACTACAAAAAGTGCACTGGAGCTCCTGCACGAATACTGTCGTCCCAATACCATCTTTACGGTCTTCACTGCGCACTGGACTTACAAGGCAGCGCTGTGGCTTTATCAGGATGGGGGGCCCCAGACTTCCTGGTATCCTCTGGCCTTGAGGACGCTCGAGCGATGTTCTCTCAAATGGCCAGAGTCGGGAGCGCTCATTGATTCTTTGGCTCGTATGTCGTCACCAAGGTGCTATGCAGAAAACATTGATTGAAGTCTCGCTCAGTATTCCATATCAACGGACGAGGGCTATCAATCCATATTGAACATGACGTCGTCCCAGAAAGCGATTTTGCCCCTCAAGTTAGGTGACGCCTTTATAGCAAGCTTTGCTATCACAGATCCCGGTTGGTGAGGCTCTACCAGTCTAGGGCGTAGATACGCTATGTACTCCTTCAACTCGTCGGCAGTCATACCCGGAACTATTTTGTCAGCCAAAGCTTCTCTAGACGCTGCAGAGAATGTCGGATCGTACTCACATTCTCCGTGGATCAGCTTGTTGACAAGGGGTGTATTTACGATACCAGGATATACAGCGATGGCTGTGATATCAGGCTCTTCCAAAGTCAGTGCCTGGGCAAAAAAATTGACCGCTGCTTTCGAAGCTCCATAGGCTCCCCAGGCCTTCCAGCGCAGCTGCTCGCCAGCATCTGACGACGTAAAGATGACTCTCCCTTTGGATTTTCTCAAATATGGGATTGCCGCCGAAAGCTGGTAGAAAGGTTAGCCTCGGAGCACGTATGGTGCGACCTTGACTGGACTTACCATGGAGACATGAGCCACAACATTGACATTGAAGATCTTGGTCACTTCTGTCGATGCCATGTCGCATATTCGCTGGATTGGTGCCATGATCCCAGCGTTGAGGGCAACGGCATCAATCTTTGCCCAAGTCTTGATGGCGAGTTCCACAGCCTGCGAATTGACTTGATCGTTACTCACATCGCCGATCACGTACTGGAACCTGTCCTTTCCAAGCGTTGCCTGTCGTTGCCTCAACGGCTCCTCAGCCAGATCAACCACCACAAGTCTGGCATTCTCTCGCAGGAGCTGGTCGACAATTGCGGCACCGATACCAGCCACTCCGCCTGTGACAATAACGACCGGATCTTGCGCCATGACGATATACTGTACTTCACGTGTCCAGGTTTTAAAATTGGGCACAAGCACTCTTTGATCCTTTTGTCTTCTTCCCCGCAAGCAAGACGAGAACTTGACCTCGGGCTCACCGGATTAACAGTGATAGTCAAGGACAAGAAAGCCGCATTTCAGACCACAGACCACAGACCACAGACCACAGACCACAGACCACAGACCACAGAACGATGGTGGTTTACAGACGTGATTGTTTGCCCATGTCTGAGACTATGCCGTACAATCAGGATTGCTCTATTAGATCGCTCTCCATCCCGTGCGTCCCGTCGCCTTCTCCGTCGCCTACCCCGTCGCCTACCCCGTCGCTCATTTCCGTCGCTCACTCCCATCGCTCATTCCCGTCGCTCATTCCCGTGGCTTCTTCTAAACGCCTGATTCTATGCAATAATAGTTGGTACTCCTTCCCAAGAGTCTCCAGTTGCGCCACCAAACTCCCCGAACTGCAATCAGTGGATTCCCCCCGGCTTTTTAGTCGAGAATCAATAGACTCCGGAAGAAGCTCAGTCGAAGCGGGGGCTTCAGAGACCTCGGGGGAGGGTCCGCATTCGAGCTCTTATCGCCATGTTAGTCGTCCATTCTAAAAGCCATTTGTGGGTGTTATTATTCAGGGTCCGCCCACCTGGCTCCAGACATCGTCGAGGTATATCTTGCTACTTCTATCACTACTGAGACCTAGGCAGAGGTGTTTTTTTTTACACATATTTCTCTCGGACCTAAACTTCTCGATATGTCTGACTTGCCAATCCCCGGAACCGTCCATCAGGTTGATCAGGCGGATCACATCCAAGGTGTCCGTCGCAGTCCGAAAAACCACGATATCATTCTACTGCCTCAGCCGTCAGATCATCCTGATGATCCTCTCAATTGGTCCAAGTGGCGCAAGCTCGTCAGCGTCTTGGGCTACAACATCTATACCCTGGGCGTGGTGCTCATGGTCTCGTGCTACACCCCGGCCAATCTACAAATCCAAGAGAAGACTGGGATCCCCGTTGCCAACATCAATACTGGCGTCGGCATCTATTTCCTCTTCATCGGCTATTCGAATCTTATTTGGCAATCGCTTGCCCTCAATTACGGTCGACGACCAGTCCTGTTGTTGTCGTTCCTGCTAGTCATCGTCCAAGCTCTTTGGCAGGCATGGTGCAAGAATACGGCACAATGGTATGCCAACCGCGTTCTCATGGGTATATCCGCAGGTCCAGTCGAGACACTCCTCGAGCTCATTGTGGCCGACTTGCATTTCAGCCACGAGAGAGGGTTTTACATGAGCATCTACGTGTGGTTGCTGTTCAACGGGCCCTTTCTGGGCTGCATTCCAGCAGGCTTTGTTGCCGACTCTTTGGGTTGGCAATGGATCGAATACATTGTCTGCATTATCGGCGCCGGTCTGTTCGTTTGGCTGTTTTTCACCTTTGAGGAGACGGCCTTTTACCGGCCCGACGTGATCTCCGCCGAGAATATCGACAGTGTCACATCAAAGACTGCCGTTTACGACGCCGAGGCCAATGTTGCACTCCCCCAAAAAGGAGAAAAGGGTGGTGCACTTGAAGCAACGGGAGCAGACACCATCAAGGCCCCGACGACGACCAGTGTTGACGCGACGCTTGACATTGTGAGCCAGCCGAAGCCGTATTGGAAACGACTGGGTTTTCTTCCTACTCACGACTCAAGGAGGAAGAGCACGGTGTGGAGGAACTGTTATCTTTCTATCGCTCTGCTACGATTTCCCGCCGTCATCTACTCTGGTCTGCTGGTTGCATTGTCTCTGTCTTGGTTCAATGTTGTCAACGGCACTCTTCCGAGTATATTAGGTGCAGAGCCCTACAACTTCAGCGCCAACATTGTCGGCGTCTTCTACATTGCCGCTGTCATTGGAGTGGGATTTGGCAGCTACTTCTCAGGGCAGTTAAGCGACAGAGTGGCGGTGTATATGGCACGCCGCAACAACGGTGTCTTTGAGCCGGAACATCGTCTATGGGTGTTCCTCTTCGCACTAATTCTACATCCATTGGGGTGCCTACTGTTTGGCGTCGGCGCGGCCCACAACATCCACTGGGTCGGTCTCGCTTTCGGTTTGGGTATTTTCTGTGCCACTCTGCCCATGGGTTCCTCAGTGGCATACAATTATGTCATTGACAGCTACAAAGAGGTCGCCGGTGAGGGTCTTGTGTCGGTGGTCTTGATTCGGAACACTATCGGTAAGTCACCAGGGGGAGCCATGATGGCGGTTTCACTGACATTGGTCATTATCAGGCTTCGGTTTTGCTTATGCGATTGTTCCCATGATCGACGCCCTGGGCTTGCAGGGGGCCTTCATACTACTCACTTTTCTGGGGCTATTCATCTGGTGTCTCACCTTCGTCATGATCATGTACGGCAGCAGATTTCGCAAGTATACGGCTCGAGCATACTGGAAACTAGTTGAAGAACAAGGGCTACGTGTTCATTGAGACAGGGCCGCCCTGGGGGGCAAGACATGTTGGGGGCATTTTCTGGCTATTCTAGTATGTATAGCTAAGTAGCCCCATGACTCAAATCTCTCCCGGTGATGAGCCGAGGAGATTTCAGCAAGATGGGCGTGGGGGAGGATTTTTTTTTGATATTCTCGTGCAGCTTGTTGGGTAAAGTGGTTCCTTCAGTGGAATATATGTATATATATACACAATGACCCATCTTTATATCTATCCCTGTGGTGTGCAGTGTTCGTGGACCGTCTGGCAGACCCTTGTAGGCGTTGTGAGGCACCACTAAGTTCACCTTTTACTGATCATGCCCTGACATGTCTCACATGGCAATTAAGCCACGCGGCGAACATGAAGGTCGAGCTTTGTGACTCCATCGACAGTCAATTACGTCGATTTTCGTGATATTTGAAAGTCTCAAGTCAGGAGCGAGCATTCATTATTCAAAGAACTCATGTTGAAAAGAGTCAACCGTAATGTCGTCGGACTAGCGATGGGGCGATCTATGCGTCGAGTCGACAGAAAACTATTTGCCCTTTTGCCCGCCTTTCACGGTCGCACCTTGAATGTTACCAGCTTTAAACTCGTCCACCATCTGATCCATCGTGACCCATTCGACACCCTCATGCTCGTTGACGAATTCAATGAATCTCTCATGCATGAGCAAGACCTGCGGTTTCCCGCTCACCTGTGGATGGATACTGATGGGGAAGATAAAGGTGTCGTACTCTCGATAACAAAACGAGAACTGATCTCTCCAGAGTTTTTCCAACGCCCATGGATCAACGTAGCCGTGGCTCGGTCCCTTGAAGGAGAATTGGAAAGGGGGCCAGTCGTCCAGATGCCAATTTGCAGGAATCTCAACGACGCTCGAGTCTTTCCACGCACTCATGGGGACCATCCAAGTCTCGGCGTCCTTGCTCGTGTCGGTTTCCTTCCAGGGATCCGTGTTGATGTGTGGGAGGTAATACGGCTGGAAGTCGTGATGCATAAAGGAGTGATCGTATTCAATTCCAAACTCCTCCAAAAGCTTGACACATTCCCGAGAGGTAGCCCAAGCAGGGGCTGTCCAGCCTCGAGGCTTCTTGCCCACGAAAGAGGTAAGTACATTGATCGAGCGTCTCAGAACATCCCGTTGCTGCTCTTCGGTCAGAGTAGACACGAATTCGTGAGTATAACCGTGCAAGCCTCTAAAAAAAATTGAGCAAAGAGTTAGATCTAATCCAAAAACGGCCATTTATAATGCTCCACAGAGAGGAAAAAACATACATTTCATGACCGGCATCTCTGACCTTGGCGATCTGTTCGGGGAAGCTTTCGATCGAGTGTGCTGGAACAAACCACGATGTCTTGATGTGATAGCGCTCCCAGAGCTTGAGAAGGCGGTCAATGCCGACCGTTGCTCCAAAAACACCACGCGACACATCCGTTGGGTCCGCATGACTGCCATCAATGGTATTGATCCTTTTTTTTTTTTGGAGCTGAGTTAGTTTGTCGAGGTGTTTTGTCCAGGAGTAGCCTTACCATCCACTGACCGCATCCACGTCGATGCCATACCCAATCAGGACTCGCTTCTTTCCCATGGTGGTTGATGTTGGAGTAAGTAGTTACCTGAAAACCCCTTGCTTTTTAAAAATTCACACCGAATTGACTAGACTACCCGAGCAGAAAGGAGAGGCCTTGAATGATGGGAGGCGGCGGTTCTATACTTTTATCCTTTCCTTAAGGAGAACCCCATGTATGGAGTTTCCATGTACCGAGTATGGAGTTCTTCTCCATAATAGGACGCTAGATGTCACGCTGAATAGATCCGCCTTTGGTCTCTCCAACCCTTGTGGAACCTCAACAAGCACGGACGTGAGCGAAGTTAGCGTCGCCTAGATGCGCCCGGGTTGACCTCGCTCAAACCACGAATCACCATTTCTTCATTATGTGATTTGATTCAAAGTAGGTTTCTTTGTCGTTGATTATAGTCGCAGCATCCAACAAGCAATCTCTTCCCCGAGAATCGCCATTATATCTCACACAGACACACACAGAGAGAGAGAGAGAGAGAGAAAGACAGGCGCGCGCGATGATAATTATCGACTGTAAAGGATCACCACACCAGGTAATTCTACCATCAGCTGGTCAGCCACTTAAGATTTACTAATCGTTGGCTATTTGGAGATTGGCCGGCAACATGGTGAAGGAGCTCGGCAGCAAATTAAAAGGTCTATTGCCTTTTATGCTGGACTCTTCGAGTCCATCAGCCGGTTGAAGTGGGATGAAGTTCAGCAGCTTGCAGATCCTTTCGCGGCCATGATCCAAAAAAAGTGGCCTCCATTCTATGAAGAGATGCAAGGTGAGAGATGCCCTTGTTCAAAAATCACTCAATCTCCCGCTCTCTTTGACACGTGGCACAGGCGTTGCTGAAGGCTCGGGCTCTTCGGTACTCGATATTGTAGCCCTCAACATCCGCACGGAAATTGCCTTTGGACAGTTCAGTGACGGCTGTACGAGCTTAGCATGGCATACGAGCGAATCGGCCTTTCTCGCACAGAATTGGGATGCAAGTATATCTGATTGGACACATGGACAAACCAGGCTGATATGATGTGCAGTGGAAAGAAGCACAAAAGGAGAATCTCATAGTCTTGAAGATCAAGCAAGATGGGAAACCCGATATTCAGATGATCACTGAAGCAGGCCTTATTGGCAAAATTGGATTCAACGAGGACGGAGTGGGCGTTTGCTTAAACGCCATCAAGGCGAAAGGCATGGACATGAATCGTCTTCCGGTTCATTTGGCATTACGCCTGGCCCTCGAATGCAGCACAGCTCTGGAAGCCCTTCAGAAGCTGGAATCGTTCGGCGTCGCGTCCCCCGCCCATATTCTGGTGTCTGACCGTACTACTGCCTTCGGAGTAGAATGTTCATCCACTACGATTGAGAAGCTCGTGGCCGATGGCCGAGGGAGACTGATTCACACAAATCATTACAAGTTGCAACACAACGGTGTAGTAGATGCTCAACTCCTCGAGGACTCGGGGCCTCGCGACACGAGGATGCTCGAGTTGACCGACACTTTGGCCAAACCAACATGGAGTGGAATTTTCCAGGCCTTCCAGGATGAGGCTGATGCACCGTCCTCAATCTGTCGAACACAGGTTGGGAAAAGCACACTCGCAACATTGTTCAACATCATTATGGATTTGAGAGCTGGCAGAGCTGAGATATGTCTTGGTCGACCAGTGGATATAGAGGAAAAGGTGTTGCTGTCATTCTAGAACACCATGTCTGTTTGTTCACGTGATCAAAACTGTTGGCAGATGGATTGATTCCAACGCCCATCGTAGACATGGTAGACAAAGAATCTCGCCTAGACTTATCGCGGGGAGCAGCCCCCCCCCTCCTCCCGGGCGGGGGACCCACAGCGATGAATCAATTCGAGACAAAAGACCTGCTGTCGTACACGACAACTACGTTCTGGCTATCCAAAAGCATAAAAGGCAAATAGACAAACAACGGTCCAGATTTGTGACCCGCAGCACCAACGGACGTCACGACTCAAGTTTGAACGCACTGTCCGACAGTTGAAATCAGGAGCTGTTTGAACAATCTCGGAGGAAGGCGACCAAGATCCAGGCCATCAAGGTGGCTTGCTGTCGGCAATGCCGTGATTGGGTTTTTGAGTCGCTCGATTGGGGTTGCTGCCCGGGGTAGAGAGATCCACTTCTCATATCATTCAATGGAATGGCCTTGCTCGTCCTGATATTTGTTCACAAGGTGCGAAAGTCTTTCATTCATCCAAGCAAGATTGACAAAGTGACAAAACTAGAGACAACATCTTCAGTGATTATACTCGGTTTCTTCCAGGACCTGCTTATCCTGCCACACCCTCTAAGTATACCACAATGCTTCTCTCGCTCCTCCCTTCTCTATGCGGTATATTGGCACTCGTTCTCCTGGTTGGGCCTTTGGTCAGCTACTGGTGGGATCGAAAGGGCCTGCGAAAGTTTCCCTCTCCATCATTCGCCGGTGTCAGCTCACTGTGGCGTGTCTGGCACAATCTCCGCCATCAACACTATTTGGCAGTACACAAAGCCCACGAACAGTTGGGTACTCATGTCCGAATTTCTCCCAATCATATTTCAGTTGCGCACCAACAGGCAGCCTACGATATCTACGGCCACGGTGCCAATATGATGAAAGAGGCCTTTTACGACTCCGGGGCGGGTGCACACCGGAACCTCGCCGATGCTCGCGACAAGATTGAGCATCAGACCAAACGGAAGATGCTTGCACACGCGTTTGCCCAGAAGACCATTGTCGGGCTCGAGCCTGTCTTGATTGATATGCTGCAGACGTTTGTCGGCGCGGTCAATGCCCATGTCCAGTCGGGCGAAAGCATGAATATACGACTCTATTTCAACTATTTCACCATTGACCTTCTGGCAATGATCTTGTTCAGCAAGCGTTTGGGGTGCGTATCCCGTGGAAATGATGTGGTCGACGCAGAAACCACGACGGGAGTGGTCTACAAGACTGCTTTTATAGAATCTTTGCACCACTCCCTTACCATCAACGTTGCGCTGGGTATGGAACCAGTGTTTCTCCCATGGACGAGGTGGCTGTTTCGACACCACCCGTACATGCGTGATGGTGTCAACTTTGAAAATATCATCCATCACAATGTCAAGGGGCGCCTTTTACAAGGTGTAACCCAGGACGACCTCTTCACCAGACTGTTGCAAGACAGCAAAGGGAACAAGTTGAACCTGTCCATGGGTGAACTTGTCGCCGAGTGCAGTGTCATGATGAACGCTGGGACCGAGACAACGACTGCCGCCATGACCAATACTGTCTTCCTCGTCTACACCCATCCTCGAGTCCTCGCGAAGCTGAGAGAAGAATTGGATCCACTCTTCTCTGACCAAGGTCTTCCCAGTTACGAAAAGGTCTCTAGATGTCCTTATTTGAGAGCTTGCACCGAGGAATCACTTCGAGTGCGACCGCCCAGCTCCATGGGCCTCCCTCGAGTGGTGCCAGAAGGGGGGCGGATGGTCGCCGGAGAATTCATCCCCGGGGGAACCACGGTATCCGTCCCAACGTACACACTCTTGCGTGATGGCTCCATTTTCGACAGGCCTTCCGAGTATTTCCCAGAGCGCTGGCTCACCGAGGACGCCGAGCTCAAGCGAGAAATGTTGAGGAGTCATCTCCCGTTCAGCACCGGCCCACGAGCCTGTATCGGACGCAACATTGCGTACTTTGAGCAGACCTTGGTGATCGCCGCGTTGGTTCACCACTTTGACCTTGAAGTACCGGAAAATTTCCAACTGGAAACTCAAGAACGATTCAACTCGAATCCTGGTAACCTCTTTGTTCGTTGTAAACGACGTGACCTAAAGGTCTAAATGTGTATATAACGAGCGGCCTTTGAAATGAATTTCCCGTGGGCATGACATGATGACACATATACGCAACAAGTATAAATATAGTTTTGTTCATTGTCTTTCTTACCCGTAACTTCTTTTTAAGAACTTCTCTGACTTGAGTTATTATATACAATGTCTTTGACTGATGAGGCGCAGACAGGTGACTAGAGAAAAGCCACAGCCTTCGGACTTTCGAAAGCGTTCATAAACAAAGCGTCATGGTTGCACCTGCCAAGTAACCACGAAAATAGACAGTATAGAGACTAGAATAAATTGTGAGGGTGACTCTTGACGTGGTGCCTACTTGAGAGCAGAGATCCTGCTAGAGAACAAGTTGGACAACTTCAAACTTGCTATAGATGCTGGTAATATTGCTAGGCGATGATTCCACGGCCAATTTTCTAGCCAACTCCGCCTCCGTCTGATGGTCTCAGAGCCCAGGCCAACTTGTATCCGTCTCACCTTAGCACACAGACGGGCTAACGGAGCCTCCGCCATGATTTGTACAGAAGGCAAACGTAATGCTGTCACTTCGGGTAGAAAGTTCAGTGGTACTCATGGTGAATCCCCAAGCTCGAGCGACTTAACTGAACCCCTCCTCCCACCGAAGAGTCTTGAGGGAAGGAGGCACTCTCCCTCTGTCGGCCTCCGCCGAGTTCCTCAGCTTCGGCTGTGACATTGTCTTGTGACCTATGGTAACGTGGTGACCTATCAGGTAGACTTCGAACTTGATGGGCGGTCCACAGCTAGTAGCCTCGACGATGATGATTGGGTTGGGGCTGTAGGCTTCATACACAAACCGCGTCTGACGATCGACCGAGGCCGCTTGTTCCGCAATCCGGCTCATTCACTTGTTCACAAGCTATGCACTAGGGCGTTTCTGCCGTTGAGCAATGAGTAGGCGGCTAGCTCAGGTCATCCCAGCAGGAATTTTCCGCTCGCAATATGGACCTTTGAAGCTGTGCCCGATTTCCGCTCCAAGTAAGGCGAACGGAATTGGAACGAAAGAAAGGTGACAAGGCCGGGCGTTCTGGAGTACTTGGGACGGTGAGTCTCTCTTCAGGGAGTCCTTGCTTCGATGAGGTCCTGAATACCCAGGTAAGAATAGGACTGATGGTCACTCTCGCAAATGACGAAGCATCTTGGTCGTGATCGAGGGAACAACGGTGGGAGGCGTATATTGGTCCCTGACTGCATCAGATGTCACATTGGGATAACACGCATATTTGCGCCCTGTTAAAGAGGAGTTGACAATGCCAAGGTTCATGGTCAAAAGTAGGGTACATATGGTGGCCTGCAGAGGGACCGAGGTTTCCTCTTCCAGCCCATATTTGAGGCTAGCAGACAGTACGGGAGGGAAAAGTGCCGACTGTGGGGGCTCTCCCTGGACTCGCACAGGGCGGCATCACCCTACGCCGGATGCGGGGTGAGCCGCGAGCAGATTAACCACACCTTGGCACTCTGGGTAAGGCTGCACCTTGCCATCCCCGCCCATCCTTCAGCTGCGCAAACCATATCATCTGCTTCCCTCAAGCACAACCAATCCGTTGTCTGGGCACACCATTTACTGAAACTCTTGGATGTAATAATGTCTTGCTCTCTGTGTCATAATTCCTTTCAATTGATCAGGTGAAAATGACAATTCCAAGACGCTTTTTCGCCCGTACACCAGCTGGCCCGCAGCGGTCGTTCGCGGCCCAAGTGATCACAATCGGTGTCACATGTGTTGCAGCATATTCATCATGGGCCCTGGTCGCACATCATTGGATTACATGCGCTGTATGTTGGTCTTATTCCCTCCCCATGAGAATCCCTTTACATTTGTCCGAGTCGTTCGCTAAGCTGCGTTTTGGCCAAAAGCCCTCTGAAGGTCCTTCGATGTACCCATCCATGCCCAGCAGCCTCTCCTACAACATATATTCACGAAGGTACAAGCGAGGAAAGAACATCAGGGTGGGGGATGTGGTGGTCTTCGAGAGCCCCATATTCCTCCGTGGCATAGCCTGCAAACGTGTTATTGGTATGCCCGGGGATTATGTCGTCCGCGACCCTTATCTATCTCCCACGGTGGGCGGAGCTCCGATCCCGGGTTTATACGAAGGCGATGCGGTACGGGAAGAGCCTGTCATGATACAAGTTCCAGAGGGCCATGTGTGGGTAGCCGGCGACAATTTGTCTTACAGCAGAGATTCTCGATTCTATGGCCCGCTACCCATGGCTTTAATTACAGGCAAGACCTTGTATGTTGGCGATGGGTATTTCAATTGGACGTCTTTCCGCAAACCGCAACTTCAACCAGTCCCCATCTCTGATACATTACAAGGACCCGTGGCAGGTGAAGCCCACCTGAAAGACACCCAAGCTACCTGAGAATAGGAGACCTGAGCGTCTGAAACAAGAAGCATGTCAAAGCCAAAGAGAATGCAGAGTCTTATGAGATGCGGCGAGCCGCAGTTGATGTTATACAGCAGGTGCTGGGAAGAGTACAGCTCAGCTATCTCATCCCCTCATCCTAGACGTATCACGCCTTTGATACGGCAGAGGCTCAACCTTCTTTCTCTTATACTCCACATCCGCACCGTCGATGCCTGCTCTCTGCATAATGGCAGCCGTACTTTCATCCCATTGTGTCCGGAACAACGAAGCACTAATGGGACTGAGCATGTGACGACTCATCATACTGCGTACTGTGAATCCATCACGCTGGATCTTTTTCCTGGCAACCTCAAGATCAATCGGGATGTCGTCTTTTTGTTGCAAAATGATGATGGACAACCGATGATATGGACTGCCTTTCTGCGCGTAGGGTGGAAGCCATGGTAGAAGGACCTGGGAAGTCGGAGATAGAG